TGCCAGGCACCCCCAAACCCCCAGGCATCCCCCTCCACCCCCCATCACAGCTCAGTGCAGATCTGCCCAGCGAGCCCCACAGCAGCCATTGCCAGCGGGTGTTTCCATCAAACCGCATTAAACCCAGAATAAAAGAGCCAGCACAAATAATCCTGCGCCTTGCCAGCCTAAAGGCACCTGACTGGTCCCAAAGCAAGTGCCTCGTGGCAGTGCCCGATCTGTCTCCAGAAAACAGGGTCTGCAGAGCCCACAACTCCACTATCAGGTTTGTGCGTTGGCATTGAGGATGAGGAGGAAGAGCTCAGCCCTGGTCAGACAGAGGCTGCCAGCTGGGAGGTTACAGCCAGGCTGACTTGGGAAAATGTACCACAGAGGAGTAAACAAGATGAGAAAAAATTAGGATCAGAACTGCTGCTTTGGTCTCCTGGAGCAGAAATATCACTCACATTTAAGCTGACTTGCACACACATGCTGAGCTCCCTGGAAATAAGGGCTGCTGACGGCTCCTGCCGTGCCCCGGGCTGCCGGAGATGCTGGCTAGCCTGAAATCTCTCCACAAAGCGAGGCTGGAGCAGCTCTCGGCATAACCCACTGGGCAACACGTCAGGAGAAACTCGTCTCTCTACCCTGTGCCCACAGCTGGGAGCTGTTCCCCACTGCCACTGGCTCCACCAGCGCACACCGAGACAAAAGGAGAGGGAACAGCACCGACTATCCCAAAACCAAATCCTTACCGTCACAGCGCTGCTGCATCCTCCGGGCTGGGGTGGCCCCGCTGACCTTCGCGTGTCTCTTCGGAGACGCGGCTTGCTCCAGGCTTACACCAGCCTCCTGATGGACCAGGTGCTCCAGTTCCTCAAATTCAGAGACCATGTCAGGAGTAAGGAGGTTAGCAGCCTTCAGGAGGGAATGCTGCTTTCGGGCAACGCTGAGGATGGCGGCTAGGAGGCTGGGACAGAGAGAGACAGATCCAAGAACCAGTTAACAGATGAGCTTCAGCCAATGTCACCAGTAATAGAGGCTCAGCACCACCAGCATCATCTCTGAGACACCTCCTTGGGTGGGGCAGCGCCTGCTAGCAGAGTTTTGCGGGAAAAGAGGCAAACTTTGAAGCCGTGAGATACCCAAGCTGTAAATCTCTTACTGGAGAACCTGAGCTGCGAGTTGTGTGTTCATCTGTTGGTTAAGGGACCAAACGGCATCCACAGACTTTTTGCCAGGCTTCAGACACTTGTTAGCTCGGTTAGAGGCAGACACATCAGGGCACACATCAAGGCCAGCCTCCCTCAAAGAGACCTTTCTAAAGAGGTTCATGCTGCCAAGATGCTTGGGGCAGAGACATCAGCAGATGGTGCCATGGGAGCCCTGCCAGGGCAGGACCTGAGGGAGCTGAGGCAGGAGGAAAGACTTCACAGAGGTAATTTCAGGACTAACAATGCGTGCTTAAGGCTCAAACAGTTGCTGCGCATGGAAACTTTCATTGCTGGCATTTTCCAGAAGAGATTATCCCATGGGATTAGATCTCCAGGAGCAAATCCCTTATTTTACCAGGCAGGCAGTCATCTGCAAGCAAAAACTTGGTTCCATGTCCATCTAGACCAGCCCTACAATGGCTATGCATAACAGGAGGGTGGACAACCCATCCTTCACAGGCAAAGAAGAGGAAGCGGCACATGGGGAGGGCACGAGGACACTCACGACTCCGGCTGGCTGCCAGACAACCCCTGTAGAAGGCAGCTTGGTTTCTTCAATTCCAGCTGGAGATCTGTCTGGTGGGTTGCTCTGGGGCTGCTGGGAGGCATTTCCTCTGGAGCCTGGAGCAATGAGCCAAAAATCCTTACCTATCTAGCCCAGGATTAGCCCATATTTGAGTTGAGCTTGATCCCCAAACTCCTCATTATCTGGGAAGTTAAGGGGTTTCACTAGCAATCCACAACCCAGCACACGCTGAGCCAGGACCCCAGAGACTGGCTGAGCTCCTGCCCTCTCCCAGGTGCGAGCGTACCCCACGAGCATATTTGAGCCCCACTGGCCTCCGCCAGGCCCCACTCATCATGCCAAGCTTTCCCACGCTGCCCACTCCTCCGCTCACCTCCTCCGCTGATTCCAGCTGCAGCTGAGCAGGCCATCCAGCTTCCCGCTCCTGCTGCTCTCCATGACTCTCCCTGTGATCAACCAAGGCTGAGCATGTCTTTGGGACAGCTTCCTCCAACCTACAGGAGCCAGGAAAGAAGCCACTGCACCAGAGAAGATCCTCTGGGGAAGCAGTCACGTTGCGTAAGAAGTTTTGAAATGGATCAAACAGATTTGGCCTTTGCAACGCAGCTTCCCTTGGTGCTCGCGTGCTGTGGTTCATCAGGTTCGTAGCTACACCCGACAGCAGTTGAGATGGTGCACCCCAGCAGAGTAGCTCACCTGCTTTCTGATGGACACCTACACTGACTGGCACTAAAACCCTGCTGACTACTTGTTATGGGTCACACCAAGCTCTGTCCTTCCTCCCCACCAGCCTCACCTGGGCAGCCCCACTGAGCTCGAGCCGAGGGGAGCCAGCAGCGCCGGTGCCTGGTTCTCTGCCTCCCGGCCAGCATCCTCATAGGCACGGAGCTTCGCCCGCAGATCCGCCACCTGCGAGGAAGGATCATCTGTTGCTCAGGTGGTTTCACAACCCCTGGATGCTCAGAGGTCCACATCCCAAGCAAGCCACAGCTAAAGACAGAGCCCTCCCCTCCAGCATCTCACCTCCGCCTTCAGCTGCTCGCAGATCACAGCGTATTTGTTAATGTGGCAGTCCAAGCTGAGCACGTTGCTCTTCAGCTGCAGAGACAGGGACGAGGGAGAGGTTAAAGAAGCACTGGGGCAGCACATACCCCCCTCCCAACGCTAGAGCAGGGCAGCTACTTGGCCTCCTCCAGGGTCCCCAGGGAGCCCCAGGGTGGCTGCAGTGGACACAATCTGTGCTCCGGGACCTGCTGCCTCAGCCACAAGCCTTTCTGGGCTCTGGGCTGAGGGGGTTTAGCAGAAGACCAAGCACACAGTGTCCGCAGCTTCACCAGCTGCTTTCCGCACAGAGCAGCATCTCTAGGGCCGGAAAACTCAAGCTGGAGAAGAAAGGCACCCACTAATCTACCCCACCAGGCTCCTTCCCACCAATCCCCAGCAGCTCCCAAACACACGGCAGATCAAGCACCACAACACAAGATCCTCACCGACAGCTTGATCTCCTTGGCTCGGTTCGCATACTTGAGCGTGTTGTAGGTGTCCTCGTAGGCCAGCATGGAGGGACTTACAGCAGCGATCATAATGGTGCGGCAGTTGCCGCCAATGGAGTCCTTCAGCAAGCGCGTGAGCTTGCTGTCCCGGTACGGGATGTGGGTTTTCTTGGTCTGTACCAAAAGATCAAGGGTCTGCTCAGCTTTTGGCCCTTGGGCGCTCAGCTCCAAATCCTGTGTTGCAACGGGACGGCCACACTCATCCCACGGCACCTCTCAGAGCCCAGGCCAGGCTGCCATTCTCACTGCGCTGGCGAGACCATCTCTTGAGGACATGCCTCACATTCTCCCACCCCGGAGAGCCAGAGCCCAGCAGGGCCACGCGAACAGCGTTACCTTTGTGTCAGCCAGCGCATTGATGACGTTGATGAGGGCCAGCAGCGAGCGGTTGATGTTGGCACCCTCCCGGAGCCGCTCTCCCTTGGTGTTGGTGACCGAAGCTCGCTCTGAGCCTGCCAGGTCAATCAAGCTCATCTTGGCCACTTGCAGATGGCCAGTGAGGCCGCCAACGCGGTCCTGCTGCTTCACGTAGATCTGCGAGGACAGAGATCAGTGAGACTGCAGCTCAACAAGGCACACAGAGTTGCTAGTTGGAGCCAGCATCACCAGTTTCAACATTATAAAGGATGGTGAAGTGGATCGCGCAGGCTGTGAGATTGAGCTGGGGGAAAAGAGGAGTCCGGCACGCCAAGAAGACATGCTGAAAACTCAGTGATGACACAAATAGCAAAGCCACGGAAGGGATCTTGCAAGAAATGGCAGAGCTATGGAAAATAATCAGCACCTCCTACAATTGGTGAGCGAGTGAGGTACAGCTGGTCAAGTGCCCAAAGGGCAGCATGCCAACCCAGTGCCCTGGCACGACCCGGGCAGTGCTCACGCACAGTGGCTGCCCCAGCCCAGACTCCAACTGTGGATGTTGCCAGCAACCCAGACCCCGACGGGGGCTGCAAACCCCAGACAGCCTCGCAGTGCCCTCAGGGAGGCATCCAGCCAGGGCTTTCGGTGCCAAGCCCAGTTCCTGGCTGGTGTGGGCAAGGAGGGACACAGCCACGGAGACTCACTTCACAGCATTGCTCCGCAACTTCCCCTTCTGCATCCCTGAAGATCTCCCAAAAGCAAATACTTCTCCCACCACCCTATAACACCCTCAGCCCCCCAGGAGCAACTCCTGCATGGACTGGAGGTGCCACGGAGATACTGGAGGCCGGTAACTGGTCCTGCATCCTCTCCAGACCGCAGTTTGCCTGCTGGGAGGCAGAACCAGCAGCGGGAAGGGCACATTTCCAGCACAGCTAATGGATTTGCAGCAGGCAGGAATCCAGCACCCACCAACAAGCCCAGCTGGGAAGCCGGCTGGGAAAGCATCCAGACACCTGGACTTCCCCCCTGCAAGCAGCAATGGGCAAGGCACCAGGTTCAGACTGAAATTACAGTCAGAGCCCTCCGTCTCCCCACGCAGCCGTGACGGCCCTGTTAATTCGGGAAAGGGCCTGGCTGGAATTGAAATCAACTGGCAGGCTTGTGTAGGAGAGCACCAAGAAACCGGGGAGCAAATTTACAGAGCCGCAGAGGAACGTAATTCCCAGCTGAGTGCCGAGGGGGACACGACAGAGGAGACAGCCTGCCTGCGGCACCTGCAGGGAGGCACAAGCAGGAGCCAGCAATAACCATCGCCCTTTGCTCCGGGTCAGATTTTAGGTATGGCTCCCACACGCTAAGTTGACAAGAGTCAAAAGCACAAAGTGAAATTTCAGCCCTTGGGAGACATAACACCAAGCTGGGAGTACGAGGCTGTTCAGGAGACGTGGCCACCAGCGTGACCAGTATGTGCTGTCCTGCTGCCGCACAGGCTAGTGGCCTGCCCAGACCCATACCTCTCTTTTTGGGGCCACAACCACTCAGATTTTCCCTGCGGCACACCAGGAGCAGCAGCAGGAACGCCGTGACGCTGGTCCTGGCACAGGCTTGCTCCCTTTTTGGCACAGATCCCAAGCAATATCACAGCCACCAGCCCTCACCTGGAAGACGGCGTGTGAGCGGGAGGAGGTGGCGTTGGCATCAGTAGGATGCTGCGTCCGGTTTTTGTTGCCGTTGGCCAACATCTCCAGGAGCTGCTCTGCCGACACGGGCTGGGAGAGAACGGGCAGAGGGCAGGCATCAGCGCACCCCAAACACAGGCACCAAGACAACCCGACCCCAAGCACCCACAGCAACTTAGGCTGCGGCATCCTGCAGCTCTGCGGGTCTCGTTTCAGCTCAGGGTCGTCTGCTGCCTGCCAGGAGCCATGCAGACAGCACCCCCATGTCTTCACACCCCTCTGTGTCCCCCAGCATTCACTTTCAGAACTGGTGTAGATGCAGCGTTGCCCAGACCTTGTGCCTGTTTTTATACCCACCTGGTGGAAGGAGAGACCCTGAACCACGACTCCTTTCTCGGGATCCTCCCGGATGGCCAGAGGGCCCTTGGGCTCCAGCAAGTCGTGAATCTGTTCATTGTACACCTGGAGCAGGGAACTCAAGTTAAGGCTGAGGTATGTTTTCCCAGCAAGGAGAGGAGGTTTGTACCCCAGGGTCATGCACAACCTGGTGTCCCCCCAACACCACCTCTCAAACACTTCCCAGGGTTACACCAGGAGCAGGCAACAGTGCTCTAAATGCAGAAGACAGCCTGGGAGGCCGTTATGGGCAAGTCACTGCGCCACCACTCCTTGAAAGCCCTCATTGCTATGTGGACCACAGCAAGGAAGAGGAAATTCCCTGACTCCAGATGGGAGAAACCAGCAGCACCAGTTCACTTAACTGGGTGGGTGAGCCTGCTTCCAGTGAGGCTCTAGGACTGCCCTGGGGACACCAGGCACAGCTGGCAGCACAGCAGGTATCCCAAGCGTGGCATTACAGGGTCCAGATCAACCCCAAATCTTAGCGACGGTGACACAGAGGCAGGAGGGGACATGGCTCGGCCGCAGCGTACCTCCTGGTAGGAGACAAGCACCTCGCAGCTCTTCTCCTCTTTTCTGGCCTCGATCCTCTTGTACAGCTCCACCATGGTGAGGTACATGATGCCGGGGTTTGTCTCCGAGCCCAGCATGGTGTAGGTCTTTCCTGCTCCCGTCGCACCGTAGGCAAACACTGGGAAGAGAAAGGGTGGATGGTTGAAACAATCATTAATTAAAACGGAAGCAGCATGATGTCCGCTCCTTGACGGAGAGGAGAGCTTCCCACAGCAAGCCCTGCGGCGGGGGTTGCTCACAGGCTGCGCAGAGACGAGGCAAAGCTAATTACCCTCTGTGCTGGCTGCACTATCCTTTAGGGCAATTTTTTTTTTTTTTAACTCATTTCAGCCTCTCTAATTTAGCAGAGGCAGAACGAGTCCCCAGACCATCACCACTTGGAGGCCATGCTCAAGTCACCCCTGAACCTTCCCTTTAACAAGCCGAGCAGTCCCATTCCCCCTTCTCCCACCAGAGGGTGTTTCTTCTTCCAGACCTTGTAATTCATCTCATTTTTTCACTCCATCTTTCAACACCCTCTTTGAAGCATCATCATCAGAGCAGGACACACCAATCTAGAGACCCTCAGCCCTTCTCCCCATTAGCAGCACTCAGTGCTTTGCAACTCTCTTATTTGAGGATCCTGGAGTTATTTTATGCAGATAGACATGCAAGATGTGCCTGCCAGGTGGGCACGGTGACAGAGGCAGCCTTCAGCGGCTTGCAGAGCATGCCGGAGAGCCAGGAATAGCATCCTCCGGTCCCAGTGCCCGGCCTGGTGCATGATTAGACAGGAGAGCGGTCGTCTCCCGCTCGGTGCCTGCCTCGCAGAAATGATGTGCTCGTTAAGCCGCTCGTCTGCTGACAGCCTGCGAACGGCACGAGCGTCTGCGACGGCGGGCGAGGAGCTTTCAGACCGGGCAAGGAGCTTTCCAGATCCGTTTTTGTGGTGCTGCCAACCTGGGAGACATGCGCGAGGGGCACAGCAGCCCCCAAAGCACCCTGAAATGCATCTGATTCACCCCAGATCCTGCTTGGAAATTCAGCATCCTCCCAAAGGTCTGCCCATCACAGCGATTTGGGTTGGGAAGGGATGGCAAAATCAAGGTCCTCTTTGCACCACGGATCCACCTGTTTTTTTCCCCATCCTTCCCACCCCAGGAGAGCAGAGACTAAGTGATCTTTGTCTCTCAGAATTCCTGGAAAGCACCTGCTCAGCCTCATTTTCCACCCCAACACCCTCCTCCACATCACATCTCTTAAGAGTGCCAAGAACCACTGCGGCCCCCAGTATCACAGAACCACAGCCCAGGCTGTGAGGGACCTGGAGAAATCATCTGGTCCAAGCTTTCATGGGAAAGGGAGACCAAATCATCTTGCACCCTCTCCGGTGGCGTCATGAACACCTCCAGCCATGGGGACTGCGCTACGTCCCTGGGGAAGTTGTTCCAGTGAATGTTCTCACCGCAAAAAATCTCTTGAATTGAGATGAAAACTCTCCCAGTGCAACATATACCTGTTGCCCCTTGTCTTCTCCTTGTGACCAGAGAGCCTCCATCCTCCCTGTAGCTGCCCTCTAAGTACTCAAAAACTGATAATGTTCCCCCTGAGTCTTCTCTTCTCCAGGGAAGAAGAGACCCAGCTCCTTCAGTCTTTCCTCCTCAGGCAGGCTCTCCAGCCCTCGGGTCATCTCTATCACCCTCCTCGGGAAACTCTCCACTTTATCCACATCCTCTTGAATTACAGGGACCAGGGCTGGACACAGCACTGGATGGGATGGTCACATCTCTATCTGAGCTAGAAATGCCCCTGTGGATACAGCCCCAGATCCAACGTGCCTTCACTGCTGCCAAGGTGCCCTGCTGACTCCCACTCGGGTCGGTGTCCACCAGGATGCCCAGGTTCCTCCCCGCAAAGTTGCTCCCCAGCCACACAGATCCCAGTCTGTACTGGGCTCCTGCGTTCGCCCACCCCAAGTGCAGGACTTCGCATTCATCTGTGTTAATCTTGGCGCCGTTCTTGCTGGCCTGCTTTTCCAGCCCAGCCAGGTCTCTCCCTGCCTGCTCCACAAACCCACTCTCCCCTGGAGCGCTGCTGCCAGCTCTGGGGTCACCAGCGTGAGACAGACACATGGACCTGTTGAGAAGGGTCCAGAGGCCACAGAAATGGTCTGAGTGCTGGAACAGCTCTGCTATGGAGAGAGGCTGAGGGAGTTGGGGTTGTTCAGCCTGGAGGAGAGAAGGCTCCAGGGAGACCTTACTGCAGCCCTTCAACATATATAAAAGGGGCTGATAAGAAAGTCGGAGAAGGGCTTTTTACCAGGGCTTGTAATGACAGGACAAGGGACAACGGTTTTAAACTGACAGAGGGCAGGTTTAGATTGGACACTAGGAAGAAATATTTTTATGATGAGGGCAGTGAGACACTGGACCAGGTTGCCCAGAGAAGTTGTGGATGCCCCATCCCTGGAAGCGTGCAAGGTCAGGTTGGATGGGGCTCTGAGCAACCTGGTCTAGTGGCAGGTGTCCCTGCCTGTGGCCCTGGTCTGGGGGCAGGTGTCCCTGCCTGTGGCAGGAGGTTGGACTCGATGATCTTTCAAGGTCCCTTCCAACCCAAACCATTCTGCGATTCTGTAAAGAGCACTTTATGTTTTGCTTCCCCTCACTTACCTGCCAACATTAAACGACATTTCCATGTCAGGATCATCCCTGTCCTGATCACACTTGCAATCACCCCAGCTTGGTGCCACCAAGTTTAAGGCTACGTGTTTTTACATTGTTGTTGTTTGCATGTGTCCCCCACCCTCAACTGCTTGGGTGTCCAAAATAAGTCCACAGCTCTGCTGAGCCCACCCAGCCCGGGAGTGGATGGGGCAGGGGCTCCTGCAAGGATCGAAGGCATTTGCCAGGTCTTACCAGAGCAGTTGTAGCCATTGAGGACGCTGTCCAACACCTCGCAGGTGGTGTGCTGGAACACCTCCTCCTGCGTGGCCCCCTCCCCAAAAACCCAGTCAAAGACAAACTTCAGGTCCTTGCCCTGGTGCTTGGGCCCGCGGGCGGGCAGCATGCTGCCGGGGGGCCCGCCGGGCTCCTCAGGGTTGAAGATGAGGATGTGCTGGTCAACGACGTGCAGGATGGGGTGCACGGGCCGCTCTCGCTCACAGGGGGCAGGGGGCCGCACGCGCACCATG